TTTCATTGTCTTTCAATGCCTTTCGGTAGATTTTTTTGCGTTTCTGTGCCTTTTGGTAATTTGCTGTCTAAATACTAAAAGGCGCAAAAGACAGGGTAAAAAATTTCCGAAATTCCCCTTAACACACAAAAAAAACACCGAAAGACACTAAGTAACACCGAAATCCATTCCAAAGGCATCAATAAAGAACACTGAATGCCACAATAAGGCTAAAAAAGCTCACCGAAATGCACGATAATGAGTAGAAAACTATTTACAGCCAATGCTCTCCTGCTCCAAGTTTAATCGCCGCAGTGCAAACGACAGTTAATAAAATAATTCAAGTTATGTGTGTTCCTCTCCCCGCGTGTACTTCACGAAGTCGCCTGCCATCATTATGATGCGGTTCCGGTCGCATCGCGCCTACTCTCTCTAATAATCTGCGAGTAGCGGCAAATATCGGTATGCACGCGCGTGACAGCAGCTATAGCTACTGTTTTGCGCGGTTGAAAATTGTTCGTGTTTTTGGTGGTGTGTTAATGTACTATGTAGACTTTGAAAATGGATCTTTTTATAACTACAATATAATTTCTTATTTTGTAAAAGTTATTACCTGCATATGTAAAACTCAGTAAAAGAAATAAAGCTTATTCCAATAATTATTTATTGCAGTTTTGTCATTCAATTCTGTTCCAGATTGCCTCTCACTCTCTACCGGTCATTCACATCTAAAACATATTACTGACAACTAATACATTCATTTTAAAACATAGCACTCAATCATTCATCTGCACACACACCACTATAGTCATTCACATCTAAACATATTACTGAGAACTAATACATTCATTTGAAAACATAGCACTCAATCATTAATCCGAACTTACACCACTAGTCATCTAAACAGGTAGCACATTCAATTGAAAACAAACCACTCTATCTTTAATCCGCACACCACTAGTCGTTCATATCTAATTGGGGCACTAATGTAATATCAGGTTTGATTTGTTTTACATGGTTCGAGGATGCCTTTAGGATAAATCACACATTTCGTGATTGGTTAGATGAATTTGCAGCATTGTTCCTTCATGCATACTTTATATCCATATGCATTTTGAATTCAGTTACATTTCAAATGAGAAATTGGGATGTTTAAAACTTCAATTTCTGAAACCAAACAAAAACAAGACCCTATAAAGGTATCGGGAAAATCCAGCAATAAATATTTGTAGAATTATTGCATGCCCAATCAGATGCAACCTAAACAAATTTGTCCTTCTAAAACAATTTTAGCCTAGTTAAATGGCAACAAAAAAGTTTATAGGAATTTAAATATTATTTATTTTATTATTATTTAAAAAGGATATCTGCTTTTGTTTGAGAATTACATGTATTTTTTATTAAATCAAGTTGGTCAGCAATCTGTTATCCTGTAGTTTAAAAACTACGACAGTATAAACAAAATCCTTGCCCTATCTCTCTTTGATATGAGACTATTTACAACAATGTGCTTCAAAAATTTGTGGCACGTGTTTTAAATTTAAATTTTATGTATGCACCAATAGATTATTCATGCAGTTACCTTTCCAATAATATATGATGTGTCTACCTTTATTTACACTCACTACATTTGTAAATATAAATAAATGGTTTTGCTTCAAAGAGTAGGACTGATTTATTCCAACATATCCCTAATGCAACATCCTCACCTATATTTACCACAGTCAAGAAACAACAACAAAGCACTATACCCTTCATTTTGAAATTTCAAAAGCAAGCTTCATATTTGGCACATACATGTGGCATATTTGGCACTTACATGTGGCATATTTGGCACTTACATGTGGCATTTTTGGCACTTACATTTGGCATATTTGGCACTTACATGTGGCATATTTGGCACTTACATGTGGCATATTTGGCACATATATTTGAGCAGGTTGTTCCAACAGAACACAACTTTTACTCCAAAAAGTAATTAAATGCAGTCTTTGTGAAGTAAAGAGTAAAGGGGAACTTCCGCAAGCCCTCATTTCAAACAACTTTTATTAAACTTGGGGTTGAAAAACTAGTAGCCCGGTCGGGCAGACGTGACTGCAACTTCAGTTGCCCGACTACATTTATGGTTGTTACGGGATGTCGGGCGAGCCTATTTGCAAGCCCTGATGGTGGTATGCAAGTAGACAACTTGACTAAACACTATCAAAAATGTGTGTCTCGTTTGTGAAGATATAACAATCCATATTATGCTTGAAATCTTGATAAGACACATAAAACCTACTCAACTGAAGGGTCTGAGAACAGGTGTTTGCAATAGGCCGTATTGACGTACCTTGCAGGGAGTTGTAGGCAACGAGCAAGTCTACCTGCAACAGAATGTCTGCGGCAGTCCAAAACTGCAACAGGCGTTCAAGCTTCTCTGCATTCAAGGAGGAGATAAACTGCTCCAGGTAGCCATACACTCTGTACTCAGCAAACTGTAAATCTGTATCATCAGAGTGTGCAGATGAGATGCACTCCAACACTTTGGCTGGAGTAGGTCTCAGTCGGTCAAACATCTGCTCGACTACCTGGCCAGACAAACCCATCCAAAGTGAGGGATAGCACCTCATTCCCGTGTGTAGCTGGAACCACATCCAAAATGGTTTCAAGAGGACTGCGGTTTCAGCTACGGAAGTCAACACACTCTGCAGATTGTTGGGTGACGGTGCTTGAGAGGAGCAATGAGGGCCTAATGCCCTCAATACACTCAAATGTCCAGAAACCGACATCATGTACTCCCTGTCTGCCATGGCTGATTTCAAAATTGCTCTCTCGTCCTCAGACAAAACACGGAGGAAAGAGAGAGTAGTTTCGTCACCAGCCACATTTCCACACAGGAGAAATTTGATGGCAGACTTGCAGATCTGGATAGGGAAAATCCCAGTCAGCACATACGCATGACTTATGATTTTTCCTACCAAGACCATAGTGTCGTTGCTACAGATAGCTGCATCCATCCTAGGGATTTTTTCTAAATCACCGTCAAATAGGTCTGAAAGCAAATTCGAAAAAAAAGCACTAAACATCTCTCGTGTAACACCGCTGAAGTCCTCCGCGACTTCTTCCCGCTCAAACACAACTTTGATGCGATGATGCACCAGATTTGGGTTAGTGCGATATCGATCTAGGACGTTCTCTACAATGTTGTCCCGTCGGACCCTCACAATCTTCTCACTACACAAAAAGTCCCGTGCTCTTTTCACCCTGTCATCAAACTCCTTTATATCTGAAGGGCAAAAAAAGAAAATTACAATCACTATGTCCGTCAACAGCTGCAGATCTGTATTAAAAAAACACAAATGCAATTTGTTTGATGTTCAACCGTAGATTGACTGTACAATAACACTATCACCAAAAGTCAGGCCTTGCAATTAGCATGATTTGACCAGGGCAAAAATATGCCGTCCTTGTTTTTTATATCATATATCGCAGATTGGTTTTACTATGGCATTTGCTGATTGCCGTAGCCAATTTCAAGGTCTAAAAAGTGAATGAAATTGAGCTCAACACTTCCCATCCACATTGTTGACCAATAGGGCCGATGAGCCAGGTCAGGATAAAACTAGAAAAGTTCGGTTGGGGACAATCGCAAATGTATCCCCTGCCAAATTGTCTTGAGAAAATGGTAAGTTACTGTCACATGAAGGGGGATTTTTGATAAAGTAAAAGTTCATATCAATATACACACCATTTACTGTTGTAATCTGTCTTACAGGTACAGATTCTGTGTCATCTGCATCGTCCTCACTCTCAGTTAAGCTCTGTAAAAAGTAAAACATGTGAATTACAGGCGAACTTTGACATTAGAAACCCAGCGAACTTCCAAAATTTGCTACAAACACCCTGGGTCAACAACTGCCTCCAATAACCCTTCAACCTTGAAACAAGACCGCTGACCATTTGGTCCCATTTGGTCCCTTTTGACAACAGTCTCTAAGATAAAATATATAATAAGTTAGCAACTCATAATTTCCAAGTAAATATTCTGACTACTATTTTTTACTTATACCACTTCTAAAGGTCAGTCATTGTTTTTTTTCTGGGGAATTCATGTCCATCGGTTGTGTAGGAACCAATACCGTCGGTGTCGATAACGACACGAAGTTCCGTCCATCCGCACTGCATTCTGGATGCCATGTGCTAGCGTATGCATTGCACTACCCCCTACACCACATGTGCCTAATTAAGCAAGCAACAGAATGTTTTGAAAATGCTGACTGCCACTACTAAACACATGGGAGAAGCACCAAGTGTTCAAGGATTTTCAATTTGGTTGTGGCATTTTCGTCACTATAGCATTTTATAATTTTCACGACAATTGCTTTGCCTGGCCACAACTCTTGCTGTGGTGGGTTCACAATTTTTCGTAGTCCACACACACAAATGTTGCTCTATTTGTGACTACTAAATCTAGACCTAATTGTCTTGTCTACACCCTCTAGTACCCTCCAACAGCGCCACCTGGCAATATTGGTATATGCTATAACATGGCCTTTGGCCAGGTGAGCTGAAAATTGCTCTTGTATTATTTTCACAATTTACCTCCCGATTGTCTTGTAGGTCTTCCACATGGATTCGACAGTTGCTGCCAATCCCACAATCCTTCAGGCATGCAGTGCTGTCCTCTACCACATTCCCTCCAAAAAGAAGTCTGGCCTTGTTTACACAAGTTGACCCTTCAATGAAGTCAAACAGGGACTACAAAAAAACAACAACATCTGAGCAAAAAGAAATAGTTGAATGTATACCACGACATATGTATACCATTGTCTTCTTACAAGACACTTTTCCATCATCGACATATCTCAACATGGTGTCGGGATTATGAAGTGGCGGCCATATTGGATTATGAATTGACCCAAAAGCATATCATGACACACCCTTGGGTCGACACCAACACTTGTACTAATTTATGTTTGATCGGAATCTCTTTATCGGTCTTGAAGTTATGAGCCAGAATCGAATGCGTCTACAGACGGACAGGGTGAAAACAGTATAACCCCCTTAGCTTTGTTACGGGGGGTATAATAAGGGTCAATAACTCTTGTAAACTGGGCAAAATTAAAATTTTAACTGTCAGGTTTTATCCAACTACAAATTCAAATTTCAAATATGTTTTCACACCACACTCGGCCAATAAAATAAAATAAATCTCATATGAAGAGAAGGAAAACATAACTGCATCCCTCATAATGTCACTGTCAGCATAATAATTACCTGCTTCTTATCCTCTGGTCTGAATTTTCTGGACTTTGTGGTGTTGTCCTGGAGGACAAACACCACAGTGAAGCAATTGTCAGTTGGCTCCTCCCCAACTCTTTCCAACTTCTGTTGCCTGACCTACAGAAAAAGCAAGTATATCATTAATCACAAACTGTTTTAAATGAATCAGTAGAACAGCTGTGCTGGGCTTAAAACACACAGGAATAAATACTATAGATTAGGTCACCATGGTGGTCATCTTGAATTTTCGATTGAAACTGAACCCCTCGACCTGCCAAATCTGAAGGTTTCATATTGACTGGCCATGCAGGTTGTTTTACGATCAATACCACAAACTTTCATGACCCCAGACCATGCGGATTCAAAGTATGTAAATCATACATCTTGATCGGTCGAGTAGTTATGGAGAAGACAATTTAATGTTATTCAATATGGCAGACCCGTAGGTCGTTTTGTATTTTTGAGCAACATTTGGCTGAAATGGGCTTTTGTTAATCAGGGATTAAAAATATGTATCACTCATTTGAAATACTTGCATCTCCAGACAATGAGGATCAAAATTATGTATCATACATCTAGATCGGCCGAAATTTCTTGCCCCCTGTGATCTGAATATTTAATTGATTGGTTGAGCAGTTTATGAGAAGTTGAAAAGGGATGTAAATACCGAGAGACAGACCGTAAGGAGCAGCTGATAAATGTTTTTTTTTCAATTGAAAGATCCAAGACACACAACTGCTTCTAGTTGAACACTACCTCTTGCATTTCAATTTGGCGTTGCTCTCTATTGTGTCTCCTTCCTTGCCTTGTCGCTCTTCTCCTTTCTCGGGCTGCCTGTTCCTCATGATCCTGCATATAAAATATGTCAATCACATATGTAGAGAAACATTCCATTCGACATAACAATGAATTGATTATCTACCTCATGCAATATCTGTAGTCTGATCTTGAAAATGTCATGAGGTTTCCGATGTGCTTTGCGCTCGAAAAAACCTTTTGGTTTTGTTCCGTTTATTCTGTGTTTTGCCATCAGCTACATGTAGGTGTTACAATCGTAAAACAGCTTACCCTCTGCTGATCAAGTGCCAGTCCCTCAAAAAACTCTTGATCTTGAAGAGATATTGTTGCTCGCCTGATATGCAGCATGGGATCACTAGGCTGCCAAGGCTCCTATTACACAGAAGGCAGTGATGGCATTCACAAACTGTGAAATTGTTCTTATGCAATGCCTTAGTGTAATGGGCATATTTGAGAAATGGATATCTAAAAAATATACATGTATGCACAATTCTAAAAATATTTACAATGTTGAAAGTCTGTATATATTCTAAAGCTCAAAACCATTTGTATATAATCGAAATTGTGGGAATTGATAACATATACTACTATACTATTATGATAGGTAAATCTAAACATGCAGTATATACTAGTACTGAAAACCAGATGATTCGAACAAAGCTAATATAACCATATTAAAAAAGAATTCAAATGAAATGAAAAATTTGTATCAAAGTATGCACAAATAAAAAAAAATCCATATATTCATGAAAAAGATTAATAATTTTTCTGTCCGAAAAGATAATTAAATCAATGTAACATACCATTTAACCATATTCCAATAAGCATAATTGAAAATTCCTTAAATTAATAATGTTCACAGCTTCATATATTTTGCAGAGAAATGACACATGTAAAATGAGGTATTTGGAGTTTTGAGCACTGAGATGCTTGAACGAACAACCGGGTAGTTCAATTTTTATTTTGTCAATCTATTTTGATTTAGAACTTATACATGCCTAAAAAAATATTGTGTAGATAAACATAATACCTTAGAAAGAGGAGTGGCATGAAAGCATGCACCATTATCCCATGCCCAGCTATCTCCTGACCCTCTGACCATTTAATTTGATGACTACCCCTCCCAAAGGCACATCTAGGCTATGCGAGGATCATGCATATGCAATATAGATACCGTGTCTTCAGCAGAGTCTGGTCCACAGGCGACATCAACTAGCCGAGTCTCTGTTTCTAAATTTGCAGCCTGAAAATAAAACATAAATTATAAAAGCAAGATACATTTTCTGGCACACTGGAGTACCATCATAGCCCCGGAATTGTGATACTGTCACAACAAACTGACAAAATTACAGAAACAAGAAATGCTCGTTACACATTCTACCGTAGTCGTAACGACCACAGAAGCTGCCGTTGTAATTCTAGACCCTGAAACATTACATGATGTATCTCATAATTTTGTTTAGCGGTGTATGTAGCAGGATATCTTGCCCCCTGGATAACTTCCCCACCCTCGATATCTTGCCCATTCGATATTCGCGTCACTACACTACCCTCGCACTTTCAATAGTTGCGAAACATAATCTATGGAGAGCAACGTATCGAAACATACATAAAAATAGATGTATCCTACCGCTGCGGCATTGAAAATTATATGTTACACACACAAAAAAAAAAAACCTTAGGTTAGCAATACTGTTATGCGATGGAAGGGATGGAAGTGATGTAAATGAAAGGGGTTTTTGGGAGGCGAGCCGGGGGGCAAAAAGAACAAAATAAATAAAAAACTGGACGTCCTGTTTTGTTTGTCATCTCGGTATTTTTTTGTTTATTCGTATTCATCATATTTTTTGTTCCTTATTTTTTTTATTTTCTAACGATATTGTTATCCACAACTGTCCATCCGGGATGGATTTTCTCGAACCACTCCAGTTGCTCGTAGTAGTCTTCCCAATCCTCACATAGGGAGTCGTCGTCGGCGATGTTAAAAATGTTTGGGGGTGGCGGAGGTGGAGGGCCGCCCCCAGCGCCATGGCCCATTTCCGGGAGCTCTGGCTCTGGCTCTGGCTCTGGCTCCCGGATGTAAGCCATGAGCGCTTCAAATAAATGGTCGTTGACCTTGCTGAGGTCGGGGAACTTGGGCATGTCATCGTCAGTGGGGGTTGTTGAATCCGCTTCTGCGACGATGGATAGATCGCCACTGGTGATATGCCATGAAAGGGAAAGAAAAGGTGAGTACGGACAGCATATATATATAAAAAAAAACGACGGGACGGGGCATAACAGTACGGCATATTAATAGTGAGTTGCAACGATCACTATAAATTCGCGAACCTGAGAAACCAAAAGTGACATAAATATACGCGTTACATGGGGTAAATAATAGTGTACACACTGTGAACAAGTAGGTATCGCGTTACAAATAGTATCAATCGTAATAAATGTCATAAATCGATACGCGATACATAGTTAGTTATACATATTGAGTAAATAGAATCGCGATTTTAATTCAACGCTATCTAGTAGATTACATAATGCTCCTTATAATGCATCAATACTACTTAGATGACGTATGTCTTGGCAGTGTGTCCATTTCAACTGCGTCATCGTCAAGATCGGTATTATCCCGCTGTAAGGGGTGGATAAGTGGATGTGGGGTTACAGCCGGAGGTACAATGTCGTCACATGCAGGGGGTGTGGACTGAGGAACGGCTGAATACAAGGGTCGAGTAAGAAATGGGGTCGCGGTTGGAGGCATTTGCGGGGTCGGTTCAAAGAATGGATGGATAAATGGGCCTAGCGGTCTGAAAAGTGCTCGCCTATTACAGATGTTAGGAAGGCAATTTGGGGGAGCAAAACAGTAGTACAGAATGGCAAGTATGGCCATGACAACTACTGCATAAATAAGTGCCTGATGCCACTGAATGGGCGAGCCTTTGAATTTCTGCTGCGCAGCTTCGTTGCTATCTCCACAAACTTTCATGACCCCAGACCATGCGGATTCAAAGTATGTAAATCATACATCTTGATCGGTCGAGTAGTTATGGAGAAGACAATTTAATGTTATTCAATATGGCAGACCCGTAGGTCGTTTTGTATTTTTGAGCAACATTTGGCTGAAATGGGCTTTTGTTAATCAGGGATTAAAAATATGTATCACGCATTTGAAATACTTGCATCTCCAGACAATGAAGATTAAAATTATGTATCATACATCTTGATCGGCCGAAAATTCGTGCCCCTGTGATCTGAATATTTAATTGATTGGCTGAGCAGTTTATGAGAAGTTGAAAAGGGATGTAAATACCGAGAGATAGACCGTAAGGAGCAGCTGATAAATGTTTTTTTTTCAATTGAAAGATCCAAGACACATAACTGCTTCTAGTTCAACACTACCTCTTGCATTTCAATTTGTCGTTGCTCTCTATTCCGTCTCCTTCCTTGCCTTGTCGCTCTTCTCCTTTCTCGGGCTGCATGTTCCTCATGATCCTGCATATAAAATATGTCAATCACATATGTAGAGAAACATTCCATTTGGCATAACAATGAATTGATTATCTACCTCATGCAATATCTGTAGTCTGATCTTGAAAATGTCATGAGGTTTCCGATGTGCTTTGCGCTCGAGGAAGCCTTTTGTTTTTGTTCTGTTTATTCTGTGTTTTGCCATCATCTACATGTAGGTGTTACAATCGTAAAACAGCTTACCCTCTGCTGATCAAGTGCCAGTCCCTGAAAAAACTCTTGATCTTGAAGAGATATTGTTGTTCGCCTGATATTGCATCATGGGATCACTAGGCTGCCAAGGCTCCTATTACACAGAAGGCAGTAATGGCATTCACAAACTGTGAAATTGTTCTTATGTAATGCCTTAGTGTAACGGGCATATTTGAGAAATGGATATCTAAAAAATATACATGTATGCACAGTCCTAAAAATATTTAAAATGTTGAAAGTCTGTATATATTCTAAATCTCAAAACCATTTGTATATAATCGAAATTGTGGGAATTGATAACATATACTAATACTATTATGATAGGTAAATCTAGACAGTTTATACTAGTACTGAAAACCAGATGATTTGAACAAAGCTAATATAACCATATTAAAAAATAATTCAAGTGAAATGAAAAATTTGTATCAAAGTATGCACAAATAAAAAAAAATTGATATATTCATGAAAAAGATGAATAATTTTTCTGTCCAAAAGGTAATTAAATTAATGTAACATACCATTTAACCACATTCCAATAAGCATAATTGAAAATTCCTTAAATTAATAATGCTCAAAGTCATATATTTTGCATAAAAATGATACATACGTAAAATGAGGTATTTGGAGTTTTGAGCACTGAGATGCTTGAACGAACAACCGGGTAGTTCAATTTTTATTTTGTCAATCTATTTTGATTTAGAACTTATACATGCCTAAAAAAATATTGTGTAGATAAACGTAATACCTTAGCAAGAGGAGTGGCATGAAAGCATGCACCATTATCCCATGCCCAGCTATCTGCTCACCCTCTGACCATTTAATTTGATGACTACCCCTCCCAAAGGCACATCTAGGCTATGCGAGGATCATGCATATGCAATATAGATACCGTGTCTTCAGCAGAGTCTGGTCCACAGGCGACATCAACTAGCCGAGTCTCTGTTTCTAAATTTGCAGCCTGAAAATAAAACATGAATTATAAAAGAAAGATACATTTTCTGGCATACTGGAGTACCATCATAGCCCCGGAATTGTGATACTGTCACAACAAACTGACAAAAATTACAGAAACAGGAAATGCTCGTTACACATTCTACCGTAGTCGTAACGACCACAGAAGCTGCCGTTGTAATTCTAGACCCTGAAACATTACATGATGTATCTCATCATTTTGTTTAGCGGTGTATGTAGCAGGATATCCTGCCCCCTGGATAACTTCCCCACCCTCGATATCTTGCCCACATCTATAATATCTCCCCCCCAGGATATCTTGCCCCCTCCCAGGATGGGGGGCAAGATATCCTAGGTGGGGGAGAGATATCCTGGGGGGGAAGATATCCTGGAGGGCAATATATATCTGGGTGAGGTGGGGGAGATATCCTAAAAGGGGGGCGAGATATCCTGGGAGGGGACAAGATATCCCAGGTTGGGGTTATCCTAGGGTGGGCAAGCTATCCCGGGGGGGGGAAGACATTCCGTGTGTGTGTGTGTGGGGGGGGGGTTTAGATAACATAGGGCATCTTACCCATGGGGGGGGAGAGAAGATACCCAAGAGGGCAAGCTATACTGTTATACTGCATGTACTCACCAAACGATGTCGGTCAACAGCAGTAGTAGTCCTAAACCTATTCAGACTCAAGCGGTTACTGTTACGGTCACGGAGCCGGTCCACGAACTTCCGACTTCTGGTCTATTGGAAAAAATACAGAACAAATTTATTTTGTTTTGAATATTGGAAAATTGGGCATTTTTGAAAATTTAATAGAATATAGATTTGTTATGTTTGATGTATGTGTATTAGTGTTGGGAATCGGCTTGAATTTTCATAATCGATTAAAATCGGACAGCCTCATCCGACCGATTAATCGATTATAATTGGAATAAATTGTATATATAGTTGTGCTATATATGTTTGTATGTGTTACCTGTAAAGTGAAACAGTTTCATTAGAAACATATTTCTCAATCTATCTAAAACGTGTGTGTTGTGTGCGTGGGTGTGCGTGTGCGTGTGCGTGTGCGTGTGCGTGTGCGTGTGCGTGTGCATGTGCATGTGCATGTGCGACCATGCAATGTCTTAGTGTGGGTACAAATTTATATGGTGGTGGTATTTTGTACAAATTAAAATCAAAATTTAAAACAAGTATCACTAGATAGACCTAGATATTTCTAACTCATCAAAATCAAAACATTACAATGAAAGGG